GTATGTTAGATTAAAATTCCTTCTCCCTGGAATAAATAAAAGCTTAAAAACGAAAGCACCCCATTTTAGGACTTCAGGCTGCCGTTGTACAAAACAACCTGAGCACTACGACTATCGTAAGTCTATTTTAAGGTATGGGAGTTACGATCACCTTAGGGCTAAGATCGCTTTGTACAACGGCACGCAGGTCAATAGCACCAAATGGCAAGAGTTGAAGGCGACAGCCTAAATTCTGTTTCAAGAACATAAAATTATATTCAATTTGTTAGTGACTCATGCCTATGCAAAACCAAAGTTGAAATATTAAGCCCCAGGGCCCACTTGCACAAAGCGATCTTAGCGCTAAGACTATCATAAGCCTATGTTAAAGTATGGAAGTTACAATCATCTTAGCGCTAAGATCGCTTTGTGCAAGTGGGTACAGGTCTTAAATTGCCCGGGCCTCCATTACCCATCAGACTTGGAAGCGTGTTCAAAGAATAGGCATCAGCGTGCTTATTGGAGGAAATACGTGAATTGTCCACTGGATATGGTAATTTTCATACAGCAGAAACACAGAAGATAAAAACACCTGACATCACATCAACAATATGATACATAATACTAAGGCTGGGACGGGTCACTCGGGTACTTGGGTCGGGTGGGTCCTCACTAAGGATCCGGGAGCCGCTTTTAGCAATATTCCAGCAATATCACGGCGGGGGACACCAGAAATGGGCATCACACATTGTACCCATGTCGGGAATCGAACCCGGGTCTTCGGCGTGACGAGCGAACGCTTTAACCAGTAGGCTACCCGACCGCCCCCTGGTCGTGTTTGAAGAAGACGGTGTGAGACTAAATAATAACCCTCTCTTTACCAGTGTCTATCCAAATTTAGTCCTTGTTGCTAATTTTTCCATGCATTAGCATGTTTGTATGAATTGAGGAAGAAATTATATTTTTGTATTTTAGTTGCAAGTTCGTAAAAATACAAAAACAGGGAAAATTGGCAGATGATTTTATGGTTTTCCCAATCTGTTATTTTTAAGGTTGACAGATCCATAAATAAACAAAGCATAAAATGTGTGACCTAACAACTGTGCAAGGTCCTAGTGACAGTCCCTGCAGCGTGTGAGTGAGTTGGGTTTAACGCTGCTTTTAACAGTATTCCAGTTACGTCACAGTATGTCAGCTTAATGTGGGAGAAAAGCCCAAAGTAATGCAGGCCTTAGACGTTTACCACTTCGGTGAAACCCACGACCATGGATATGGTGCTAACAAACCTTGAAACATATTCGGAGCGAATCAGGATTCGAACTCACAATCATAGGTTTTTGGTGTGCCCAAGGGACGCAACTCGGCACAGCGAATGGCGGTGACGTTGACGTCTGGGCCACCCATGCCCCTGTAGTGTGTGAGTGAGTGTGTTTCAGTTTACATCAGTGTTACTTTAACATATAGGAGGGAAGTCCCATGTAAAACACGCTTACAAACTAAACCCTTTTCAACAGATCCTGGCCCAGCTGATACCACTCTACATTGCACTGAAGTGATATAATATACTTTTTTGGCACACAGGCTTGCAAACTCAAAAAGGTTTCACACATTGTGTATTCACACCACACATTGCTTATCTGTTCCTCTTCACTCAATCTCATTAAAATCAGATCTTAGTTTTCGCTACCGCTAACCAAAGATCTGAGGACATCCCATTACGGGTCGCGTCAGAACGACCTTTCGCGAACATTGACCGACCAAAGACGTATATTCTATATACGTCCGTGGACCGACCAATGAAATGACTGACAAGAAATCGACATTGGCCAATCAGAAGGCAGCTATCTCGAGCTTTACGGCAATAGTTTCAAACTATTATAACTTCATAAACGTGTATATAGCATGGCATTGGTCCACTATTTGCACGATATCGTGTATATAGACGGTCCGTTTCAAACTGGCGACTACGCTTCGAAACATATTTTGACGTATTTTCGATTAAAATATTAAAAACTGACCAAAACAACATTCTGGAATGGCTTATAGATGGCCTAGATTGTATGGGTATAATCATAAAACCCGTAACTGTCGTTCGGAATACCCTCTGTTAAATATTTCGTGGTTGCATGATTAGAAAACACATTCGGACTGTCACTTTCAGGATGTGGTAAGCGACGCCCCTGATTGGTTGGACGAAAGGTCGTGCTGACGTGACCCGTAATGCGTGGTCCTCAGATCTTTGTTTAGCGGCAGCGAGAACTGATTTTAATGAGATTGCTCTTCACTTCAAATGAGCACATTTTGTAGCTGATCAGGCCTCAAAGCATATTTCCGAAAGGAGGCATTGGCTCTAACAAAAGAAATGCAAGAAGCCATGTGAAAACTTAAGGATCCAAACTTCAAGATTAAAGTCACTAATGTATAATATTATTAAAGCAAATCAAATCTTCCTAACAGCAGCAATGCCGATTCCTACCCCTGGTGTAACAAGCTTTGCTGTTATGTTGTTATGTTGTTAATACTTGACAAGATTATCGATTTATGTTTTACCTCACAATTCTCATGACTCTTAGATTTTTGTAATGAAATTTTAGTTCAAACAGTACTTATTTATGTACCGTATTCGACGTTATAAGCGCCCAGGACGCTCTCAAAATTAGAAATAGGGGGCTCTTATTAGAATAATATCTTAGTGGAAAAAAAACAGAGTTGAAAGATAAGTATCGTGGTTGATGCTGACAGCCTGAAATGTTTATATACAACAGATATATTTTTCCAGAATTTAACTGCCCATAATTAAGGGTGCATTTAACACACGAGTGCGTAATAAATAAGTCTTTTGTACATTGATCAATCGGAAGGGGGCTAATTGGGATTGTTCACTAGCCAATATATTAGCAAATATCGCCGTGGGCGCTTATTAGAGAGGAGCGCTTATTACGTCGAATACGGTATTGTATTTCTGTCTCTAATCTTATGCAGTTAGTGATGTCAGGTCATCTGCATGATTTTTCCAAGTAGCCAAGTGGCTAAAATAATATTGGTCGTCAAGTTGAAATTTCAATCGCCATGGCAACTAAATTAGTTGCAACTTTGAGACCTGCAAATGTAAGTCAATATCATGTGGTGCAGTATCTAATTGGTTGTAAGCGACCAACGTGTTTGACAACCGTTCACACAGTCATAATACACTAACATTTTGGCAAAAATATTGGTAAGAATAGATATAGATTCGATTCTCACTAACAGTTTATGGAACTTCACAAACTAGATTTAAAACTGCTTTCGCAATTTTCACACCCACAAACTTGACATAAATTGCCAAACTTAAGTTTGTCGTGTGAAGCCACCTTCAGAGACTGAACGTCTTATATTCTTTGTGGAGAGAGGCTGAGAATTTTAGAAAACAATAATTTGTTCGTGATAATGAAAGTTTATTTTGTCTGAGGTTTTACACCCAAAAAACATTGTTCAGCTTCGTCTTTCAGAGTAAAAAAGGTAGACCTGACGCAGTCACTGAAATAATATCCACCATGAACAAAACTCTACCTGTTCTTTAATTATTGATTTAATCTGTGTTGCAAATGTGTAACTGTCAGCATAGATCATTGTCCATTCTATCAATAACAGTTTACTGGCATAAAACAACACTCACTCATTTAATCACAAAAAACCTGTTAAAACCTTTCACTTCGAGCATGAAGATCCAACACAGACTCCGATGACACAATGGTATGTAGATACAAACAGGCTGTATCTGAAATCAAGTGATTTGATTGTTCCACTTTTGTTTAAAAAACAAGCCAAACAGCTGCTAACCAACAGACTACATTTTGTAACGTTCTTCTACTGTCGATGTGTCTAGTCTGATATGTAATGTATTACAAATTCAGCAGCTTCAATCCTAAAACAATGAAGGGGATGAAAAGTTCTGAGCCTAACTATGATGGACTGTGTGGTTTTGATGGAGTTGGTTGCGAATTACTTTTCAAAATAATCTTGTAAAAGGTCCACACACCTTGCTGGAGTGCCTGGAACCCTCTGGTGTAGCACCCAGCTGGCTGGAACCTTTGTCATGCCCAGTTCATTCTTAAGAATGTTCTCAACTCTCTCATAAGATGCCTACTGTATTACTGTGAGTCGTCATTCATTCTTAATCGTATGAATTATTTTATCAACATTTTCCTAAGTGGTGGCAGTTGCCCATCTTCCTGATCTTGGATCATCTTCGATGCTGACTCTTCCCCTCTTGGTTCCCACTGGCTTCCAGTAAACAGTTGTGGATCTTCCTGATCTTGGATCATCTTCGATGCTGACTCTTCCCATCTTGGTCTCAGCTGCCTTCCAGTAAACAGTTGTGGATCTTCCTGATATTGGATCATCTTCAATGCTGACTCTTCCCCTCTTGGTCTCCGCTGCCTTCCAGTAAACAGTTGTGGATCTTCCTGATCTTGGATCATCTTCGATGCTGACTCTTCCCATCTTGGTCTCAGCTGCCTTCCAGTAAACAGTTGTGGATCTTCCTGATCTTGGATCATCTTCGAAGCTGACTCTTCCCATCTTGGTCTCCGCTGCCTTCCAGTAAACAGTGGTGGATCTTCCTGATCTAGGATCCTCTCCGATGCTGACTCTTCCCCTCTTGGTCTCCGCTGCCTTCCAGTCAACAGTGGCAAAGGATGGAGCATAATCCTTTAAAGATGATGCCATGTCTGCATGGATGGATGTTGGCGTTAGCCATTTCAGTTTGAGATACTTCAAGTCAGCGTGGTAGCCAATTTTTTTTCATGTTCTTCAAAAGAGAATACCTAGTCACTTCATGTCTGCAGACATATGCCGCCTGGTTGTGTCTTTGGTGAAGTATTTGGTGAAGTATTTGGTGAAGTATTTGGAAAGTATTGTATTTACTACATGCAAACTGTTATGGGTGTACTATACATCCTTTCGTAGAGTGGCTCAGGACTTTTCAGCGACCCCTCTTAGTGATACTTACAAAACAGAAAATACATGCACTCCGAAAAATGTTACCCTGGCAACAGATTTAATGACGGCTCATTGCACATCACAGTAGAGATCATACATATTTGACTACTTAATGGTCATGACCCACTTGCACTGGCAATCTTAAGTGCTAACACACCAGCAATCTTAGTGCTAACACACCAGCAATCTCAGCGCTAACACGCCAGCAATCTCATCGCTAACACGCCAGCAATCTCAGCGCTAACACGCCAGCCATCTCAGCGCTAACACGCCAGCAATCTCGGCGCTAACACGCCAGCAATCTTAGCACTAACAAGCCAGCAATCTTAGTGCTAACACACCAGCAATCTTAGCACTAACATGCCAGCAATCTCAGCGCTAACATGCCAGCAATCTTAACACTAATGGCCAACAATCTTAAGGCTACCATTGCTGTAAGTCAATGTTAAAGTGTAGGAGTTACAAGTCTTTGGGCTACAACTGTTGTGAGTCTCTGTGAAAGAAAACGAGTTTACAATAATCTTAGGTGTCTATGTTAAAGTATACAATAGAGCTACAGTTGAACCTCGTTGTGTCAAACTCATGAGGACCTTGAAAAAATGAGTCAACCTTGGTTTGAGACTCCAACAAAGTGAATTTCCGTGAACCAAACATCATGCTATGAGACATTACTACATGTAATCTCGACATCTTTGTTCAATTTTGTGTGAAGTGAGTCATCAGAGGTACTTTATGCTTATTTGGGATACATGGGTTTGAGACAACCGGGAATTCGACACATCCAGTTTGACAAATCTGAGTATAAAGGATGACAAATAAAGAAAGATTTTGCAGGGAACGGAAAGTGGGTTTGAGAAAACCGAGAAATCAACACATCCAAATTCGACACAATGAGGTCCGACTGTACATTAGTCTCAGGGTATGTTAAAATATATAAGAGACAGAGTCTTAGGGTTAAGATGGTTCAGTGCAAGATGGCCCAGGAGACAATGTGACTAATTAGATACTTTGATTAAGTTTCCATAGAACATTGTAGAACATATCACATCCTTTCCTAGAGAGTCTGTTTCTTGGAGCCAATGATGTATAAATTGTTACTGACAACATGGGACTTCAAGTTGACATCAATTCCTCGCTGCATCGAATTGATGTCCCGCTGTATTCCTCCAAACAGGACTAGTTCTCCTCGACCTTCGACTAACGTGTAAAATATCGTCTCCTCAGGGGTATCACAGGATGTCTTCTCATTTGGAATGGACCACGATGCTTCCAGCTTCCTATCTATATCACAGATATCTAAGAGATGCAGACACATCGCAGATCGGGGCTCCCTCGCAGGTCCTTGCTGAGCTGGCTTAGTCCAACTGTCGGTGCCACCAGCGCCGTTCCCCACTCCACCTACGCCCTGAACACTTCTTAAGCGTTCCTCATACTTCCGTAATGTGTCTAACTGTCTCTGCCTGTTCCTCATGGCGTTGGGACGGACGGACGGGAAGCCGGGACGGACACTGGCTGTCCCGCCATAGTTGGACTCGGTACCTGAATCACTACTGTCATTATCTTTCCTTGAATCGAATCCCTGGTCACCAGGGGGCAGCACCTTCATCTCCTGTGACTGAATTCTACCGGAGTCCTCGTTTGAACTCTCAGCACTGGAGCTGTCATCTGTATCGGGGAATGGCCTCTTTGCTACCGGCGGGGATGATGGGCCTCTCATGGGTCCCGGCTGCACCTCCCCACGTGGAGGGACCCACACACGGCTGGTTTGAACTGGTGCTCGGGGGGCCACAACTGGTGGTGGCTGGTTTGATTTCACTGGCTTACTCAGAATAACCATGACGTCATCGACCTGTTAACATACATAGAGAGACAATGTTAACATTGAAAAACTAGAAGACACTTCTTATTTGTTGAATTATCATCCAAAACACATGAGGTGAGGTGAGGTGAGGTGAGGTGAGGTGAGGTGAGGTGAGGTGAGGTGAGGTGAGGTGAGGTGAGGTGAAATGGGGTTTAACGTCGCGTCCAAGATTATTGCACTAATATAGCGACATGCATGCACGTGTATGTGTGGCTGCTTGTACTAGTCCGGACTGATGCCGATTTATAGTGCTAGCTCACTGAGATACCATGCCGCAGTTTAACATGAATACCCCACTCAGACACAGTATACTGACTCCAAGCCGACCAGTCCTTGTTTTAGCCCCTTAATGCCGAGCGCCAGACAGGGTAACAACAAGTACCATCTTTTAACATCTTTTGGTATGACGCGGCTGGGGATCGAACCCCGGACCTTCCGCTCTCCGGGCCGACGCATTACCATTAGACCACGGAGGCGGTCTGGTGAGGAGAGGAGAAATTGGGTTTAAACTTGCGTTCAAGATTATTGCTCAAATCTTGCTGCTTGAACTAGTCCAGACGAATGCCAGTTTTATTGTGCAAGCCCACTGCAATACCATGCTGCAGTTTAACATGGAACCCCACAGTATACTAACTCTGAGCGGACCTGTCCTTTCCTTATCCCCTTAATGCCGAGCGCCAGGCAGGGAAACAACAAGTACCACCTTTTAACGCCTTAACATATGATGTGGCCTGCTGCTCTATCCACTAGACCTCAAGAGGAAAAGATGTATTCTTTTCAGCCCACATCTTCGATTAGGTCCTTTTGATGTTGACAGAGAGGAAAATATATAGCAGAGGAATTACAATGGGGTCTTTGAATAGACGGGATGTAGGTAACTGGGGGGTCGGTAAGAGCTGTTGTTACCACGGTTACCTTGCAGGCTGGGTGACACCACAGCTGAGGTGCGGCAGACTCAGGGTTCTTCACGGAGATCTCGTGCCACTCCCATGGAGCTGCATTCAGGTCCAACAGCCAGATATCATTGAATATCTACATGGAAACATCACAATTAGACATTAGTCTGGTTTACACGATGAAGAAACGTCTGTCCAGTATGCTCAAATGTTCATCAGGTACAGTAAACTACAGTTATAACGAACTCAAAGGGACCACTAATTTTAATTTGTTATGACCGTAGTTTGTTAAAAGTATATGTACAACAAAAATAAACACAAAATGGACAGGACCAAGTAACAGTTTGTTACATCCGACAGTTTGTTATAAGCATGTTCGTTATAAACGTAGTTTACTGTATATTGAATGGTTGGTTGGTTTGTTTGTTTGTTGTTTTACGCCGCGCTCAGCAATATTCCAGCTATATGACGGCGGTCTGTAAATAATCGAGTCTGGACCAGACAATCCAGTGATTGACATCATGAACATCGATCCACGCAATTGGGATCGATGACATGCATCAACCAAGTCAGCGAGGCTGACCACCCGATCCCGTTAGTCGCCTTTTACGACAAGCAGTCGCCTTTAACGGCAAGCATGGGTTGCTGAAGACCTATTCTACCCCGGATCTTCGCGGGTCGTATATAGAATGGACACAGAGAATAAAGATAATGTGTTTTGAGGCACAATAATATTCACTGTACCAAATCATCATCATCATCAATTAAACAATACAACCCTGGTCATCACCATTATCATCCTAGTATGAGGTGAAAATAGTTCAACTAAAGAAATGACTTAAATATATTTTATATGGAGGTATAAATGTTGTTTTTTAACGCTATTCTTATTGATAAATAAGTCAACAATTACTTCACAGACAGCCTAGTTTATCATTAACAAAACAAATGCTGACAATAGAATGAAATCAGTGACATCGTTCAACACAATAATGCAACACAAGAACGCCAGGTTATCAGGAAACGAGTCCATTTGTAGGCGTGACCTTGTTTTTTTGGTTTATGAAAACAAATGCAAAAAAAAACAATTCTTGCTTGCCAATCAAATGTCATGGAGTCACTTGTAATATATTTACTGAATAATGAGCATTTCTGATTAAATGCAATGTTTTTATACTTACCTGACGCTACACCTATAGCACTGTGTAGCGTCAGGTAAGGTAAAACATGAGCATTTCTGATTAAATTAGGTGTATTCCTCCGCTGTGACTCACCTGGTTGGGACCCCCACAGCCCCCCAGGATCAGGAGACAGTTCTCGTTGACCGTCACCTGAAACAGTTGAAGTGGACAAATGAGTTGAGCTTTCACCTTCAGTACAGCATGTCAGCTTGAATGAGTTAGTGAGGTAGATCTAATGCTGCTTTGAACAGTATTCCAGTTATATCGCGACGTGTCAACTTCATATGGGAGGAAAGCCAAAGTGATTCAGGTCTTGGACATTTACCACTTCGGTGAAACCCATAAGAACAGGCATGGTGCTGACGGGCCTAGAAACATAATAGGGGTAAACCGGTATTTGAACTCACGATCATAGGTTTCCCAAGGGATGCAACGTTGGACTGGGAATTGCAGCGCTTCAGCAACTGGGCCACCTCTGCATGTCGCTCCTGACTAAGGGACTTAACTCTGCAAAGCTCATTACTAAAGACCACTAGGACACTGGTACCCATTCTAATTTGGCAGTTTCAGGATACTTTCAAGCTCTGATGATACTTTAGCATGTATACTAGTCAACATTTGATAGGCATAATCCAGGGCTCGATTTAAGGAACTTGATTTAACTTAACCAGGTACATGAAATGAAATCCTACATGCACTAGACAAAACCAGGTTGCACCCTGGTCCCATAACTTATAAACACAGAGATGCATTAACTTGTTTAAATAAGTACAATCTCAGATCATTGATGAGTGTCATGGGTCATGAATTACACATAAGGCAGGGATGAGTGATGTAGTATGGTAAATAAAGCTGAGAGGTACTGATTGTGTTCACAGATTGTAAAGGGACAAGTAAAGGTTAGTCAGACAGTATGAATTGTTTCACACACACTTGGTGTATGTAGACATAACTACAGTCAAGTCTCGTTAATCTGACACTCGTTAATCCAATAATCGGCTTTATCCGACACTTATGATGGGAACCTATTTAATCAGTGCTATTTAGATCCCGTAATCCGTCAGTCTCACACTCCGACTCCGACACACCTCATTTGCAATAAATTACCGAAGTCACTCAGTCTCACTAATCCGACACAGTTATCAGCGTACTCCGTGGTCATCTGCCCGCGAGTCGGCTTGTAGCAGCATATTACAACGGATACAGAGATAAACTTGCTTAACAGTAAACAATTAATGCTTTAAATAAAGAAAACAGGATTAATCACATGCTTAGATTACCTCATTCTCATTAAAATCAGATACAAGTTCTCGCTATCGCTGAGGACATCCCATTACAGGTCACATCAGAACAACCTTTCGTGAAATATGACTGACCAATGAAATGACCAACAGGAAGTCAACGTTAGCCACTAAGAAAACAGTTTTCTTAAGCTTTTCGGTACCAGTTTCAAACTGGCGACTTCCAATCCAGACTTTCCTTTTAAAATATTTTGAATAAGTCCTACAGTCCGTAACAGTTGTTTTGTGCTACGCTTTAGAGGTTGCATGATTAGAAAACCGATTATAGTATAACAATATGAATATTTCATTTTTTATTACGTGTTTGTATCATTACCTATCGTGTAGTTGTCCGATTTTCATTCACAAATGTTGATAATACTTAATTTCGTTTATCCGACATACTCGTTAATCCAACATAATCATATGCAACCAACCATGTCGGATTAACGGGACTTGACTGTATGAGGTTGCATTTTTCAATACTAGGTGCATGTTTTATGTAGTTAAATGGTATATATTTAAATATACAATTGGCATATGAGAATCATTTTGTGTATCAGAGAAGGATAAAACATCCCTGTCAAAAGTGGAGTAGTGTACAAACAATGATAAACACAATAGGTGAGGTGAGGTGAAATGGGGTTTAACGTCACGTCCAAGTTTATTGCACTTATATAGCGACGTGCATGTACGTGTGTGTGTGTCTGCTTGTACTAGTCGGACTGATGACGATTTATAGTGCTAGCTCACTGAGATACCATGCCGCAGTTTTAACATGAATACCCCACTCAGACACAGTATACTGACTCCGAGCCGACCAGTCCTTGTTTTAGCCCCTTAATGCCGAGTGCCAGACAGGGTAACAAGTACCATCTTTAAACGTTTTTGGGTATGACGCGGCCGGGGATCGAACCCCGGACCTTCCGCTCTCCGGGCGGACGCTCTACCACTAGACAATAGCATCACATACCTGAGACTGTCCGTATCGAGGGTTAGGTTTGAGATTAGAGGTGGGGTGTTTTATCCAGACTGATTCCATAAAATCAAACACCCAAACATCGTTACTCCTGCAACAAAACAGATCAACACATGTCACATGGTGAATATTAAAAAAATGCTTAGGAGGTGAGTTGTGTTAAAGTGAGTGAGTGAGTGAGTATGGTTTTATGCCGCTTTTAGCAATATTCCAGCAATATCACGGCAGGGGACACCAGAAATGGGCTTCACACATTGTACCCATGTCGGGAATCGAACCCGGGTCTTCGGTGTGACGAGTGAACACTTTAACATGTTTAACCACTAGGCTACCCGACCGCCCCTTCATCAAAGTGTGTTAAAAGACTGCATTTAAATGGTGAGTGAGTGGGTATAGGTTTAAGACTGCATTTAAATGGTGAGTGAGTGGGTATAGGTTTAAGACTGCATTTAAATGGTGAGTGAGGGGGTATGGGTTTAAGACTGCATTTAAATGGTGAGTGAGTGAGGTGAACTGGGGTTTAATGAGTATTGTACTATAGCGATGTGCATGCACATGTGTGTGGCTGCTTGTACTAGTCCGGATTGATACCAATTTTATAGTGCCAGCCCACTGAGATACCATGCTTCAGTTTAACATGAATACCCCACTCAGTCACAGTGCACTGACTCCAAGCCGACCAGTCCTTGTATTAGCCCATGCTAATGCCAAGCGCCAGGCAGGGCAACAATACGTACCATTTTGTAACATCTTTTGGTATGATGCAGCCAGGGATCAAACCCACAAGCTCCTGCCTCGGAGGCGGACAAATGGTGAGTTGTGTTTAAGGCTGCATTGAAATGGGTTTGTTTGTTTCTTGTTTAACACTACACTTATAAATATTCCAGCTGCATGACAGTGGTCTGTAAATAAACGAGTCTCGACCAGACAATCCAGTGACTGACATCATGAGCATCAGTTTAAACATTTTGACATTTTGTTAGTCGCCTCTTACGACAAGCATGGGTTTCTCAATACCATTTCTAAACCATTATTAACCAAAACATGAAGTATTGCAAACAGAAGCCCTCTACTCACCCAATGTAATTAAAATCAGACCTTAGTTCTCGCTACCGCTAAACAAAGATCTGAAGACATCCCATTAGGGGTCACGTCAGAACAACCTTTCATCCGACCAATCAGTGCGTCGCTTACCAGATTATGAAAGTGACAGTCGGAATTTGATTTCTAATCATGCAATCTCGAAAACTTTAACATGGGGTATTCCGAACGATAGTTACGGGTTTAACGACTGAATCCTTACAACCAAGACCATCTATGAGCCATTCCAGAATGTTTTTTTGTTCAGGTTTCAAATTTGTAATCGAGAATTTGTCAAAATGTCTTGAAGCGTAGTCGCCAATTTGAAATTTGTGCAGTAAAGCACGAGAAATCTGCCTTCTGATTGGTTATTCCATTGGTCGGTCAAAGTTTGCACAAGGTCGGTCTGACGTGACCCGTAAAGGGATGTCCTCAGATCTTTGTTTAGCAGTAGCGAGAACTAAGATCTGATTTTAAAGAAATTGTCTACTCACCCTACTCCTGGCACATGAGATCCACCAAATACTATCATGACATCCTTCACGACGGATGCTGAATGTCCGGCGATGGGTTTAGGTAATGGACGAGACAGGCTGGTCACATGACACCAGCGATTGCTTACTGGGTTGTACATATGCAACTCCGAGAAGAACCTGGCAGCCTGAAAAGAAGTTCACATGATATGATCGCCATGACAACTTCACATGCCTCGAGGCTACATTGTAATCAACAAAGTCACAATGCCAATATCATAGAGCTAGCCCACTAAGATACCATGCTGCAGTTTAACAAAAATACCCGCTCAGACACAGTATACGGACTCTGAGACGACCAATCCTTGTTTTAACCCCATTTCTCCTCACCTACTGAAATCATAGTCAAGCACGGTATGGACGTCATCTGCTGATATTTCAACCTGGCATTGATGTACCGCATCAACCAAAAGACAACCACAATGGAGCTATATGTTAATCAAGTGTTACCATGGTTACACCTGTAGTTACAGTACTAAGAACGGGTCCTTTTTCGACCAAATCTAAGAAATGACAGTAGCTCAATATTGCAAGGTATGTAACTCCTAGCATATCTGAAACAGGTCTGAAAAGTTCTAAAAGTCTTAACTGAATCCCAACACAGAGTTGTAGAAAGTGAAAAGCTGCATAAACAAGAGGTCACACTAGTGAGTGAGTGAGTTGGGTTTAACGCCGCTTTTAACAGTATTCCAGTTATATCACGGCGTGTCAGCTTAATGTGGGAGGAAAGCCCAAAGTGAGGCAGGTCTCAGACATTTACCACTTCGGTGAAACCCATGAGCACAGGTATGGTGCTGACAAACCTAGAAACATAATCGGGGCAAACCGGGATTCAAACCAACAATCATAGGTTTCTGGCGTGCCCAAGGGACACGACTCTGCACAGCGAATCGCGGCGCCTTAGACGACTGGGCCACCCGTGCCCCCCAGAGGTCACACTAACTGCTGAGACACTGTTCGACAGCATGTTTCCATAAATTTCACTTATTTACTTTCATACAAACATATAAATCAGAGAAAAAGTAGTTTTGCAGTTGTAGATTTATTTTGACAACTGGTCATATATTACGTATACTATTCAAAGATCAACCAATTCTTTCATATTACTTAGTTAATCTCCCATGGCATGGCAGAGTAACCATGGTAACTATGGTAATATGAAAGAATCAGGTGTTCCTTAACATCTTTGGAGTAGTATATATGTCATATGATCATGATTATGTGTGGGATATTTGAAAAATTACAAAAAAGCTACAATTTCGAGGATAACATTTTGGAATAACGACCTTAAATCGATAGAGAGATGGGTTCTGATTTCAATCCCTGCATCTCCATAGTTACCACTACCTACCTGGTGAAGTGGGTAGGGTGTTGGGTGACTCCAGCCCCCAAACAGAACCAGGTTGTCCTTGTATACTACCATGGAGGCACACGCCTTAGGGGATGGGTAGGTTCCTTAAAAGCAAACACAGTCATTATGCAAAGACAAAATAACTCTCCCCCAAGGTCAACCCACATACCAAATTGGTCCTGTGCATGAAAGAACATGAAAATGATTGAATTATGCATCGTATAAACTGAAAAAAAAGTATGTAATTAACATCATTTAATGGAGCTGACTGTACTAGCCATTGTAACGAAAACAACACGAGATCTTACTAGCATGCCCAGTAAGACTATTCATTGTGAGTGAGTGAGTTGGGTTTAACGCCGTTTTGAACAGTATTCCAGAAGTATCATGGCATGTCAACTTAATGTGGGAGGAATGCTCTAAGTGATGCAGGTCTCAAACGTTTACAACTTTGGTGAAACCCACGAGCACGGGTATGGTGCTGACAAACCTAGAAACATAATCGGGGCGAACCGGGATTCAAACCCACAATCATAGGTTTCTGGCGTGCCAAAGGGACGCAACTCTGCACAGCGAATTGCGGCGCCTTAGACAACTGGGTCACCCGTGCCCCCCCGAAGTGATGCAAGTCTCCTATAATTTATGAACATGATAAATAACTGAAACAAATAACATTTGTTTGATTGTTGATTAACGCCGCACTCAGCAATATTCCACCGATATGATGGAGGCCTGTCAATAATCAAGTCTGGACCAGACAATCCAGCGATTGACACCATGAGCATTGATCCACGCAATTGGGATATGATGACATGCATCAACATGATCAACCAAAAGCGAGCTTGACCACCTGATCCCATTAGTCGCTTCTTACGATAAGCATGGGTTGCTGAAGATCTATTCTCTACCAGATTTTCACAGGTCGAAACAAGTTAAGGAATAATGTATCACTAAATCTTGTTTTCTGATTGAACTCGCTAGTGGGTAAAGAGGCCTTCTATGTTGTATCATCTTGAACTATGCTGCAGTACCATAGTCAGGGTAGTGTTGTAGCTTTGAAATTGATGATGATGGATCATGTCAGTATTTACCCATTGCCAGAGGTCTTATCCACTGTCTGGTTGCCAAGTCAAACCTCCACAGATCATTGAAGGTAGTGTTGGTGGAAGTGCAGCCCCCAAACACATACAGAGACTTGTCATAGTAGCAGGCGCAGTGGGAGTAGCGCTCCGTGATGGTGGGACCTGCCTCGGCCTGGAAGGGAGTCCATGCAACACTAGACGTCTTGATGCACTGCTGGAAGTTCTCATACAGCTTCTGAGTGACACCTGAAACAAAATAAAACCAGGGCTCAGTCAAATATACCCAAATATCTTTACATATCTTTGTTGAAGAAATAAATGACTCGTGGTTGTTTATCAATGCTTATTGTACCATAAAACACTGCAAGGAGAATAAATATGATAAACCATGAGAATAAACCAACGACCATGAGTCGTTTATTTCTCATATGACATATCAACATAATGCATAACCCCTTTAAGCATGTTGATAAGATATTCAAGCTTTAAAAATATTTACCCAAACTTAAATGATAATGACTCCCAGAATAGAATCCGACCTCTGAAATGTCAGACAAGTCAATATTATGAACAGGTGGGGTAAGTTTGGTATTTCCTGCATATTCTCACAATCCTCACGTCGATCATCTGTACCTTTTCTCCTAATACTGATTGTCATGTCTATCGTGCTTTTGGATGCGATTGTTTCGCCATCATGTTTATCTTCGTTGACCAGCAGTTCTTTATCGTAAAATAAAACAATGCAGGGAGAATAAACCCCTCGGGGCTGCACCCCTCATGGTTTATTCTCCCTGCAGTGTTTTATTTGCGATTAACAACAACCACCAGACCACAAGTCGTTTATTTTTTAAAGAAATATGTGTAAAGATAATATGGCACGTGAACTGAAAATATTCAGTGAAGGCTTGTGTGACATGTATTTAACATTAATATGAGACGCAGTGACAAAGCTACGATACGAATAGAAAGAATATGAGCATTGTTTTCATGTCATGGAAAGTGTCCATACCTGTCACGAGTCGATGCCACTGTTTACAAACAAGTTTGGCGGATTTCAAATCCCGATAAGGGGATAATTTGGCAAGGATAATCTCCAGTATTTCTTCTGGAAGATCCGTAATGAATAAGTATTGATTTTCCGTAGCCATTGTCGAAAATTATTCATAAATGTTTAGAATTTTCCGTTTCAAATATTAATAACAACACAGACACGTTGGATCAGCCGCCATATTTCCACATTGGCTGCGGGTTAAATTATGGTAAATATTGACTTTTAAAAATCTCATTACATATATTGTGGTTTTCATTTGCATGTAAAGTAAATCAATGACATAGAAATGGATGTTTTTTATAGAAAAGGATTTTCTTTTCAGTATTGTTGTCCTATCAAATAAATATTGACCAGTGAAAAAAGTGCATCTTGATTCTGCATACATCAAGTTAGGGGCGGATAACTCTAAATATACCTATTTGCGGAAATCTCTGTTGATGTTGAGGAAACTGATAAGTAAGTTTGTTCACAGCTATGGATTGTTGTTATAACTTGATTTGATATGCCGATAGTTTCACCTTGTTCGTATTTAACAAGTACGGGTATTTTTCATTTGACTTGGCTTTGTAAGCTTGAAATGAGTCAAAGACGTTAGCCCATCGACACTGACTTTTTTCCTTTATTCTTACATCAGCGACAGCTGCTCGTCTTATGTGTGGTGGTCGCAGAGGTTACTCGGGCTGGGACGGGTAACTCGGGTACTCGCGTCGGGTGGGTACTGAGAAGAACTCAGATACCCACAGAACTACCCTTACCCGTGGTTAGTCTCGTGATGTATTTTTTAATGGCAAAAAATATTTAGAACTCAATGGTTACACTGTGAGTGAGTAATGTTCCCATTTCTTTCTGACCATGAATGCATTCCTTTTGACTTTATATGTTTGAATAAAGATAAAACTTCTGTCAACTTCCGTGTATGCATGACCAGATCGTTTTGTACAAGTATCTAAATACATTTTGTTAGGGCTACAGTCAAACTATTCCCAATCTGACAGTTGGACCTATCTCTTGAGACCTACAGCAGATACCCAGGTAGGGTTTGGGTAATAGGGAGTTTGGTACCTTGGTAGTAAAATTGGACTCATCCCAGCCCTAGAGGTTACCCCTTATCCTGGAGCAGTTTTATCTAAATACAATATTGCCAGGGCTTCAGTCAAACTATTCCCAATCTGACAGTTGGACCTATCTCTTGAGACCTACAGCAGATACCCAGGTAGGGTTTGGGTAATAGGGAGTTGGGTACCTTGGTAGTAAAATTGGACTCATCCCAGCCCTAGAGGTTACCCCTTATCCTGGAGCAGTTTTATCTAAATACAATATTGCCAGGGCTACACTCAAACTATTCCCAATCTGACAGTTGGACCTATCTCTTGAGACCTACAGCAGATACCCAGGTAGGGTTTGGGTAATAGGGAGTTGGGTACCTGGGTAGTAAAATTGGACTCATCCCAGCCCTAGAGGTTACCCCTTATCCCTGGAGCAGTTATAAACTTGTCCGCCACTATTATCATTCAAGGATCTAAGAGCTGAGGATAGAGTTAAGAAGTAGCCTACCTAAGCCCATGCACAACTTACACTAAGGATCGAAGAGTCCTGAGAGATCAGCTAAGCGATACTAAATAATTTTTCTTCAGTTTTATCTCGTTTGTTTTTTTTACTCTTGGGTGGCAAACAGATTTTTATATCGCACCTAATAGTCTGGCAGTGGCTACAAATAAAGTGGGATTCAGATAAAATAAGATCTTGCATGCCTCTTCTATACTAATGTTATGGTAGGTTACCGTCTGCTCCTCCCCTTTTTTGATCATGTTCTCCTTTCTGATCATTAGGGTCAGGCATGTCTTTCTGGTGAAGCCCAGCTTTCTGATCATTTTGGTAAGGTTTCTGTTTATGATTTTTGAAGTTACCTGGCAGTTATGTTATGTTAGCTTTAGTTTAAAGCTGGCACTGAGGGGCACAGGTGGCTGAACCACTGTCCTTAGGCCATCAAAACCTATGACCGTGGTATGTCATGTACTGTTTACCCCAAACAAATTATGCAGTATAGGCCTCTGGTTAATAAAAATTTCCTTACAACCTGATAAAAATCTTACATCATGCTTATAATGCAAGTCTGTTCTGAGAAAACAGCATAAATCAGCTCCAATCTAAGTTCACGTAATAACTGATGACATACGATGATAGTTACACCACTATCATAAGATAGTTTAGTCATGCTTTAACATACATTCCCAGGCCGCCTCCGCTGTCATGTGGTAGAGCGGAAGGTCCGATGTTCGATCCCCGGCCGCGTCATACCAAAAGACGTTAAAAGATGGTACTTGTTGTTACCCAGTCTGGCACTCGGCATAAAGGGGCTAAAACAAGGACTGGTCGGCTCGGAGTCAGTATACTGTGTCTGAGTGGGGTATTCATGTTAAACTGCGGCATGGTATCTCTGTGAGCTAGCACTATAAATCGGCATCAGTCCAGACTAGTACAAACAGCCACGCAAACATGTGCATGCACGTCGCTATATAAGTGCAATCATCTTGGACGCGACGTTAAACCCAATTTCACCTCACCTCACCTCACATACATACACTCTTTGTTGACAGAATGACGCAACTAGAAGAAGTCAGTGAGAAGCTGGACAAGAACCTTCTGGACTTTTTTGACGTCCTGGGCCAAGTGTACCAGGAACAGGCTAAGCTGGAGCAGTATATGAGAGATGGCTTCCTCAACTTGTCCAGGGCCCGATATTCAATGGGGGTCAAGTCTGTCAGCGCCACCCAGCTGCCCGACGAGATGGACCCACTCCTCACCATTCTTGTCAATGGTGAAAAGAAAGACACTAAATTTGAATTTCTGAAAACGAGTATCAAGACTTCGAAAGATTCTGTAAAGGATGAAACATTACGCAAGAGAAATGTTCCAAATAAACTCTCTGATGGAGACACGCCTGAAGTTGAAACTATTGGTTCTGCGGGTGATTCTTCTGCTGCCGCCAAAGACGAGTCTTCGGAGAAGAAGCCTGGTCATGTTGATCCATTAAAATGGTTTGGCGTGCTTGTTCCACAAGCTCTGAGGAGAAGTCAGTCGAGTTTCCAAGAGGCTTCAGGTTTAGCTGTGACAGTTGCGAACTTGAAGCTAAAACTTGGTAATCTCAGAGAAGATTATAAGACATTATTAGCTGAGAAACAAAAATTGCTCTCTGTTGAAAATTAGATCTGAACTTAAAAGTATGCTATTGTTAAATACAGTAAACTAGGGTTATTATAAACTCAAAGGGCTCTTATTTTAGTCGTTCGTTATACGCATTTCGACTTTCAGACATCTTTTATCAAGTCATGTGACATCATGTTACTCGATAAATAACAAAAGTGTGCACTGTACATGTACAGAATATATCCACTTCGATCACTGTGTTACTATTGTTAATTGAGGGTGTAATTTGAGGACAATGTATCAGTAGTCCCACCTCCCCCACCACCATCACCACCAATACGACCAATAATAGGCTTAAAAAAACAAAAGAATTGGTTCTCAGGCAAAGACTTTTGAAAATATAGTGCGGGCGGGTGGGCGTTTTTTTGTTGTTGTTTTTTTGTGCTTGTTCAAACTAGTATGTAACCAAATAAACAGTTGTGTACCATCAACCTGGGAAAGGACCTCCCTACATAAACAAGCAAACAAACTCCTATTGCCGCCATGACCACAACACAACATACACAGTAAAGCAGTGCGTGTGTAAAGGGAAGTAACTCTGTGCTGTATTGGATCGCATTGTTTTTAAGAATTAGGATTTTTTTATTGAAAGTGGAAATACAAACAAAACATACGGCAGACTTTAGGATGATGCAAGGTGCCTGAGAACCAACACGATTTTTTTTAGCCCGACACAAATTTTGCGCCAACCATTTTGAAAATCGGTTGATAAAAATAAAAGGTCTAATGATTGATGTGGCCTTAGACCACAATTAATTTCCTTCTTTGCTATCTACAGTGACATGACAGCCCACCATAATTATTATCGGTCGTAGGCCGTTCCCTTGTTGCATGCAGACTGCCTCCATGGTCTTGTGGTAGAGGGTCCGCCTGGGGAGTGGAAGGTCCGGGGTTCTAAGCCCGGCTGCGTCATACCAAAGACGTTAAAAGATGGTACTTGTTGTTACCCTGTCTGGCGTTCGGCATTAAGGGGGAAAAACAAGGACTGGAGTCAGTATGCTGTGTCCGAGTGGGGTATTCATGTTAAACTGCGGCATGGTATCTCAGTGGGCAAGCACTATAAATCGGCATCAGTCCGGAGTAGTACTCGCAGACACACAAACACACACACACACACACAAAATGTGGGGGGGGGGGGGGGGGGGGGGGGGGCGGTGGAGGGGAGGGGAGGGGGTAACTGTGGTCTGAGGCCATGTTGGTAAAATGATCAGTTTAGTGCTATGTAATCAGGGGATGGTGCCATATTGTCCATGTAGTCAGGAAATCTCATTTATTCAGATCTTAGTGCTCTCTACTGCTATGTGTAGCAATAGCGAGCACAAAGATCTGATTTTTATGAGATAGTGTATTCAAGTAAATATGTGTATCTGCCAGTTGTACAGTCATTATTTCATGGGAGGATGTATGGAGTTTAAATGAATCATTCTGAATGAATGAGAGCATGCATGACGCTGTGTATGTCTAGTCAGGAATAAACTCTTCCCATGTGCTTGAGGTTTAGGAGTTATTTGTGTTTTGTTTGTTTGTTGCTTAATGCCGCACTCGGCAGTATTCCAGCTATTACTCACATCCCACCTTGTGACATTTGACTTGCATCCATGCTTGTGACAGGTGACTCACATCCCACCTTGTGACAATTGACTTGCATCCCAGTTTGTTACAGGTGACTCACATCCCAGCTTGTTATAGGTGACTCACGTGCCGGTTTGTTACAGGTGACTCACATCCCAGTTTGTTATAGGTGACTCACATCCCACCTTGTGACAATTGACTTGCATCCTTGCTTGTGACAGGTGACTCACATCCCACCTTGTGACAATTGACTTGCATCCCAGTTTGTTACAGGTGACTCACATCCCAGCTTGTTATAGGTGACTCACGTGCCGGTTTGTTACAGGTGACTCACATCCCAGTTTGTTATAGGTGACTCACATCCCACCTTGTGACAATTGACTTGCATCCTTGCTTGTGACAGGTGACTCACATCCCACCTTGTGACAATTGACTTGCATCAAAGTTTGTTACCAGAGACTCACATCCCAGTTTGTTACAGGTGACTCACATCCCAGTTTGTTATAGGTGACTCACATCCCGGCTTATTACAGGTGACTCACATCCCAGCTTGTTATGGGTGACTCACATCCCAGCTTGTTATAGGTGACTCACATCCCGGCTTATTACAGGTGACTCACATCCCAGCTTGTTATGGGTGACTTACATCCCAACTTGTTATTGGTGACTCACATCCCAGTTTGTTATTGGTGACTCACATCCCAGTTTGTTATGGGTGACTCACATCCCAGCTTGTTATAGGTGACTCACATCCCGGCTTATTACAGGTGACTCACATCCCAGCTTGTTATGGGTGACTCACATCCCAGCTTGTTATTGGTGTCTCACATCCCAGTTTGTTATTGGTGACTCACATCCCAGTTTGTTACAGGTGACTCACATCCCAACTTGTTATAGGTGACTCACGTGCCAGTTTGTTATAGGTTACTCACATCCCAGCTTGTTGCAGGTGACTCACATCCCCACTTTTGACAGGGTGACAGGAAATGACATATCAAATGTAGTCAACATAAACCATCAAGGAAGAACCTTGCAAATACGTTCATGTTTTATTTTCTAAGCACATCTACAGTTTTACAACAGAAGGCTTATGACACTGACATAAACATTGCAAACTATAGGGTAGGTAGTCAGAATAAAGTAAAATTTCAAATACATATTATTTAAGGAGACTAAAAAAGTTATTGTTTGTCCAGTGTAATGCAGAAAATGTTGCCTTCATATGACACATAAAATATGAAAAATCTGCTTCTTATTAGCAATTTAAAGTGACGTGTATAAACATTCCTTATGTGTGTTAGCCTGGTTAGAGAGGAAGTAAAAGCATTTTATTCCAAATTTTGTGTTGACAGATATGTAAATTAAGTCAACAAACGTTTATGGATGAAGTATATTGAGCACAGGGGAGAATATCCAATATTTACTACTGAGCTGCTGCTACTTAACTTTATTAGTAATCCATACACAAACAGAAACATGACTATCTCACACCGAAGTTGTAACAATTACCGACACAGTAATATGTATGATCCGTGTTGCTGATGCCACATCAGTTGAAACAATTGCCAGTAATACAACACAGTAATATAAACTGTCTTGCTGTTGCTGTTCCAGTTGATACAATGACCAACAGCAATTTAAACTCTTTTGCTGTTGTTACATTAGTTGAAACAATGACCAACACAGTATTATAAACTGTTTTGCTGTTGTTACATTAGTTGAAACAATGACCAACACAGTATTTTAAACTGTCTTGCTGTTGTTAGGTTAGTTGAAACAATGACTAACATAGTAATATAAACTGTTTTGCTGTTGCTACATCAGTTGAAACAATGACCAACACAGTAATATAAACTGTCTTGCTGTTGCTACATAAGTTGAAACAATGACCAACACAGTAATATAAACTGTCTTGCTGTTGCTACATTAGTTGAAACAATGACCAACACAGTAAGAAAAACTGTTTTGCTGTTGCTACATTACTTGACACAATGACCAACACAGTAATATAAACTGTTTTGCTGTTGCTACATTAGTTGGAACAATGACCAACACAGTATTATAAACTGTTTTGCTGTTGCTACATTAGTTGGAACAATGACCAACACAGTATTATAAACTGTTTTGCTGTGGCTACATTAGTTGGAACAATGACCAACACAGTATTATAAACTGTTTTGCTGTTGCTACATTAGTTGGAACAATGACCAAAACAGTATTATAAACTGTTTTGCTGTTGCTACATTAGTTGAAACAATGACCAACACAGTAATATAAACTGTCTTGCTGTTGTTACATTAGTTGAAACAATGACCAACACAGTATTATAAACTGTTATGCTGTTGTTACATTAGTTGAAACAATGACCAACACAGTATTTTAAACTGTTTTGCTGTTGTTATATTATTTGAAACAATGACCAACACAGTAAGAAAAACTGTTTTGCTGTTGCTACATTTGTTGGAACAATGACCAACACAGTATTATAAACTGTTTTGCTGTTGCTACATTAGTTGAAACAATGACCAACACAGTATTATAAACTGTTTTGCTGTTGTTACATTAGTTGAAACAATGACCAACACAGTATTATAAACTGTTTTGCTGTTGTTACATTAGTTGAAACAATGACCAACACAGCATTATAAACTGTTTTTCTGTTGATTCAGCAACCTATGCTTGCCGTAAAAGGCGAGTATGCTTGTTGTTAGAAGCGACTAACGGGATCGGGTTGCAAGGCGCGCTGACTTGGTTGATGCATGTCATCGTATCCCAACTGCGTGGATCGATGCTCATGATGTCAATCACTGAATTGTCTGGTCCAAACTCGATTAATTACAGACCGCCGTCATATACCTGGAATATTGCTGAGTGCGGCGTTAAACAACAAACAAACACTCACTCACTCTGTTTTTCTGCAACGTATGTACCAGATACTACTCCCCGTATCTGGCTTAGCCATTTCTACTTCCTTGTGTTCTATATGTCAAGTTTATCTGTTCACACCTTATCAGTAGTAACGTGTGTATCGGTAACGTAATTATGTATTTGTACTGGTAATAATGTAAAACAATGGCGTTTCAATAAACAAAACAAAAGGATTATTAACACCAGCTGATTTTACAATCCTTGAAAATGAAATATTAAATATTTAAAAAGTGAGGAATCGTGAAGCTGAAGTCATCATAAAATAGGGGACTTCGATAATTGACTTGAATATAATGGCACATTAAACCCGTCTGTCAATATAAGCGGTAGCAGTACCACGAGGGGTATATGTGGTTTTGTGCGTCCCGCGTTATGTTTTAGACGGGGGGTTTACCTTACGTCTGCCATTGTAAAAGAATTAAAACAAATTGAAAATAGATAGAAATCAGCTGTTCGATTGTGCTGAGGTTAACTTGTGCTGTGTCACGAGACTTTCATTGACTCCGAAAAAACGTGCGGCTTCGAAGCGGGGTATAAGGGATTTATTCTCCCGCTCAGAAATCCATGTGCATCCTGTTTTCTTCGCGGCGGGGTATTAGTGATTTATTCACCCGCTCAGAAATGTATTTCCCTCCCAGGCGGGGAACATCGTATTTTATCAAGATCACGTGATCCAATCAGATCTCATCATTTTGACATGGAGAGCGGAAGGTCCGGGGTTCGATCCTCGGCCGCGTCATATCAAAAGACGTTAACAGATGGCACTTGATGTTACCTTGCCTTGCATTAAGGGGCTCAAACTAGGACTCGTCAGCATGGAGTCAGCATACTGTGTCTGTGTGGGGTAACCATGTCAAACTGCGGCATTGGTATCTCAGTTGGCTAGCACTATAAAATCAACGACAGTCCGGACTAGTGAGAGCAGCCACACACACACACACGTGCATTGACGACGCTATATAAGTATACTAATCTTGGACGCGACGTTAAAGCCAATTTCACCCCACCTCTCCTTAAGTAATACACAGTAGTATTAGCTATTTAGCAATTGGACGGAAGTAGTAACTCTTGCCTACACAGTAATACTAGACTTTTTAGCTATTACGCTTAGTAGTAGCTCTTGCCTACACAGTAATATTGGCTATTTAGCTGTGGCCATTACAAAGTTAAGAAATGTCATCGTTCAAAGAAGTCGCTGTTTGCCGTCTAGGAGAGCTGGGTTCCATTCTGAACAGACTCGCGGCGGATCTGACAGACATCTGGTGGATGTGCTCCACCCTGCTGACACAGAACACGGCCCTGAGGCGCTTCCTGAACACTGGGATCTTGGTGGCGTAGATGATGGGGTTTAGGACGCTGTTGAGGACGCCGAGACCAAGGAGGTACGTAAAGACGACGTTTGGGGACGTCGGGAGGGACGCCCGGATGTTGGTGAGCAGCACCAGCAGCGTGAACAGACCTGGAATAAAACATAAGATGGCAAGCTAATACCCAGATATCACATTCAACAAATATAGAGTCCCCTTGAACATACTGCTGGGCAAAATAAAGTTTGATGGTGGCTAAAAATAAAACAAGAAATGGTTTGAATTGTTTCGGCGACTGTTTTCAGCCTGGTAACGTTTTGATAACGTTTGTATTTTTTTGGTCAAATCCACTTCTAAAGTGTATACTTTTTTGCCCGTCAGTTAACTATGTGAGTGATAGAGTTAATTTAAAGTCACGTCGGCAATATTTCAGCCATATTATGTCTTCCATAATATGGCGCTTCCATCTTTCCTTGTGGTGTGTGACAAGGATACTTTCTTTGGCCGACAGGATCTGCATTATTTAAGAACGAGCCACAACATCGTTACGAAAGTTATCATGTGTGTTCAACACTTTCAGGGGGCACGGGTGGCCCAGTCGTCTAAGGCGCCGCGATTCGCTGTGCACAGTTGCGTCCCTTAGGCACGCCAGAAACCTATGATTGTGGGTTCGAATCCCAGTTCGCCCCGATTATGTTTTTAGGTTTGTCAGCACCATACCCGTGCTCGTGAGTTTCACCGAAGTGGTAAACGTCTGAGACCTGCATCACTTCGGGCTTTCCTCCCACATTAAGCTGACACGCCGTGATATAACTGGAATACTGTTAAAAGCGGCGTTAAACCAAACTCACTCACTCACTCACTCACTCACTCAACACTTTCATGGTTTGGATAAATGAGTGAATGAGTGAGTTGGGGTTAACGCCGCTTTGAAACGTTATATCACGGTGTGTCAGTTTGATGTGAGAGGAAAGCCCGAATTGATGCAAGTGAGTTAGGTTTTACGCCGCTTTTAGCAATATGCCAGCAATATCACGACTGGGAACACCAGAAATGTGCACACATTGTACCCATGTCGCAAGTTTTTACCATCTTCCCGAGGCAAGGGAGTAGATTAACTATAGAAGTGGAAACTGAACTTTTAAAATACAGCAATGGTACAGTACGGAGACATAGCCTTGGCAAGGACTTCGTCACACAAATGGGGTCTAACATCGCGTCCCAAATTATTGCACTTATATAGCGACGTGCGTGCGTGTGTGTGTTTGTGTGTGTGTGTGTGTGTGTGTGTGTGTGTGTGGCTGCGAGTACTGCTCCGGACTGATCCGATTTATAGTGCTTGCCCACTGAGATACCATGCCGCAGTTTAACATGAATACCCCACTCAGACACAGTATACTGACTCCGAGCCGACCAGTTCTTGTTTTTGCCCCCTAATGCCGAGCGCCAGACAGGGTAACAACAAGTACCATCTTTTAACGTCTTTTGGCATGACGTGGTCTGGGCTCGAATCCCGGACCTTCCGCTCTCCGGGCGGATGCTCTACCACTAGACCACGGAGGCGGTCTATCCATGTGTACCATTGTTGCATGTAAACAAATAAAAATAACAAAATCAGTGCTATGTCAGAATGTTTTCTACAGAATAATAACACCCATGTTATCGAATATAGAGTTGCCCCTGTTAAATATCTTGTCGTGATAGTGGTATAATACTGCTGGAGTGAGTGAGTATGGTTTTACGCCGCTTTTGGCAATATTCCAGCAATATCACCGTTGGGAACACCAGAAATGGGCTTCACACATTGTGCCCATGAGGCTAAGAGTAGTACTTGTACCCATGAGGCTAAAAGTTTTAATTTAAAAATCTGGTTTTGCAGCTGCAGCTAGAAAAATATTTGGTTTACATTTAATCAAAGTCCCAGACACACACACACACGCGAACATCAAATGGAAGCAGTTTATCGTTTTTACCATCATGTGCCCCTACAGCCCCGCGTTATATCGGAGGTTTTTTTTTTATCTTCATACATACACTAGAGAAAGTATATTGCTAAAACAAGCTGTCATGTCACAGTGTCATCAAAATATTATGTTTAGAAATCCTTTTATCTTAAAGTTAATTCTATCTTGAAGCATTAGGCCCTACATACTATCAAAGCCAAACTGAGATCTGTTTTCTATCAACCTTGTTTAAGGGGGCACGGTCAACTCGTTCATCTCGTAAAATCTCGTACATTCCGCCGCAGAAACATGTAGCGACTTTATCATTACGAGTTCACAGGGCAATATTTGGGTGTGGCAATTAAAGCTACCCATTGACCGTCATCGGAATTTTCTGCATGGCAACTCGAAAACAGGGTCAGCTATTGACGTGAAAGCAATTGACGTCACATAAAACATTAATCTTGACGTCATGACGTCCGTACAGACCGACCAGCCAACTTGTTTCTTAATGACAGCGAGTGACCAATTATCTACCGAAGAATGATAAATTATTATTATGATGACGGTGACTTGCCAATCGGAAAGCTGGATTCACCACCGAGGAATGATAAATTATTGTTTTGATGACGGTGACTGGCCAATCCGAAAGCTAGAATCTCTACCGTAGAACGATATACTGTTATTATCATTTTTATGAGAGTGGTTGGCCAACGACAAAGATGGATACTCTACAGAGGGATGCTAATCCAGCACCATAACGGCCATCACTATAAAAGTCCAGTTGTCCTCCTATTGACCAATCAGATTCCACCTCTCTTATCACTTCAAGAAGTGTGAAGCCCAGTCAAGACGTTCTGATCGATAATCAAGATCTATATTGAAATAAAACGGGTCTCACATCGCTAAGTGCATCAAATCACGTGAGCACTTTGATTACAAACATGAAAAGATTTGCAAAATATCTGTTGAGGCCGAGTTGTCGGTGCACATGCTTTGCAAATCCTGCAAGTGACCGAATTCTGTATGGCAGTTTATGAACCGGATGACGACTTCGTTGCGCGGTTTTGATTGGACTATGCATAGACTCGTTTGTGTAGCCAAAATAATATAATAATACCAGCCTAGGGTGAAAACTGGATTTTTAAAGTCAGTTAATCCCCTTGCCTCGGGAAGATGCATAACGGCAGGGGACAAAAACAATGTATTCCGTAACCACGAGGCATCCCGACCTCCCTAAATAACACAATACCTAGACTGGAAATTGGCTACAGATGAGGATTAAAGTACCCCTTGGGACGGTCGGGTAGCCTAGTGGTTAAAGCGTTCGCTCGTCACGCCGAAGACCCGGGCTCGATTCCCGACATGGGTACAATGTGTGAAGCCCATTTCTGGTGTCCCCCGCCGTGATATTGCTGGAATATTGCTAAAAGCGGCGTAAAACCATACTCACTCACTAAAGTACCCCTGATAGCCTGATAACTAGACTAACATCTAGTCTCTGAAATGAAAACATCTTACATAAAAAAACAGTTGTTCAGTTATTTTAATAAAAATATAATAAAAAGGAGCCCAGAAATGCATACTGATGTGATCTAAACATTATAGACTTGCATGGGCTGTATTTGATATATATTTGTATCAGGGTCTGTAAGACAGACTACCTGATAACCTGCTGCGCTTTTCCAACTCACCAACAGGCATCCAACAGATGAAGTAGGCTCCGACAATAATGAACGCCGTCTTCACCGACCTCCACGTCTTGAGAATGTTTCTGCCCCTAACGTTCGGTGCCTGGAGTGACGTAATCTCCCGAGTGTGTTCACGTGCAATAATAACTAGTTTGACGTAAGCGTAGATTATGACGACAAAGGGAACGGCAAACAATGAGATCAGGAACAGCTGGTACGATGACGTCATAATCCCGAAGACGCTGCACACTTTGGAAATGTCCATCGAACTCCACCCAAAGAAAGGGAGAGAACCGACAATGATTGATAAACTCCACAGCACTCCCTCAATGACCTTCACTTTTACGAATGACACGTGACGTAAGTACGCAAAGGGGCAGGTGATCTTGACGTAGCGATCTAACGTTAACGTTGTAAGATTCAGAACAGAAGCTAGATTGACGGCGGCGAAGAACCCAACTCGCACCACACACTCGATGTAGTTCTTGAACTGGAGAACGTTGTACACGGTGTCGTAAAGTACAAATATCCCGGTCAAGGCGTCCGCCGCGGCGAGGTTGGTAATGAAGTAGTTGGAGGGGTCTTCCATGTCGGAGCAGCTCCGTAACGTCACCAAGGCCATGACGTTAATGACGACAATGAACACAGCGGCTATAGCGATGCAGATGTTGATGGCGAGATCCTCAGAGGTTACACAGTGGGAATTGAATGTTTCAAACAAATACGAACCATTCCCACACATAATGACTTTCTGGTACCTATAAACGTCCGATGTTGCTTTAATTCATCATTGATAGATGATCACATCTGAACGATCTTCCAGCTTACTGAGACTCATATATGTGTATATGAGCCATGCTTCTTTAAGGACCAAGTTTCATTCAGATACCTGGAACAGATTTACATGGAATGGACAGGATCTTCTTGAAAACTCCACGAAGCCTCTGAAACATTCAACAAATCTGGTGTCGTGTTTTGTACGTCTGCACCCACTCTCCCCGTCACCACGAGTGTTCTGTAATACAACACGACCTAGGTTCAGAGAAGCTCCATTAAGCCCGATTAGAGTGTATATGCCTGCCTGCCTCGTCAGGTCACGAAATGGCCAAACGCTTTGCTTCACGATAGTGTAGTTATGTGTTATAATTTGCTATCATGTCATATCCATGCATCGGGTCAAAACTATGGTGTCACGAAGACATTTTTAGGCTAGTCATTTGTCGTCTGCCTCCACAGTCTAGTTCTGAAAGGTTGCGATCTCAGACGTGAGACACATACGTCTATGTACAGCAGGTCAATGTCAACGAGGTCGATCCTGGGCATGTGCTAAAATCCCAATCTCAAACAGCCGGAAACAGACCTCCGTAAGAAAAAAATGTAGTATATTCCAAAAAACGAATGTTTCTCTGCAAGTGACATGTCAACCCAGATGTAACACAATGTTTATCTCCGATAAGTTCATCCGTTTGGGAAGTGTGTTGTCTCTCTGAGAGGAAGCATCCATTAATCACTTAACGTATGGTAGTGCAAGTAATGGGAGGTGAGGTGAGGTGAAATTGGGTTTAACGTCGCGTCCAAGATTATTGCACTTATATAGCGACGTGTGCATGCACGTGTGTGTGTGTGTGTGGCTGCTTGTACTAGTCCGGACTGATGCCGATTTATAGTGAGGTGAAATGGGGTTTAACGTCGCGTCCAAGATTATTGCGCTTATATAGCGACGTGCGATTTATAGTGCTTGCCCACTGAGATACCATGCCGCTATAAGATGAATACCCCACTCAGACACAGTATACTGACTCCGAGCCGACCAGTCCTTGTTTTAGCCCCCTAGTGCCGAGCGCCAGACAGGGTAACAACAAGTACCATATTTTAACGTCTTTTGGTATGACGCGGCCGGGGATCGAACCCCGGACCTTCCGCTCTCCGGGCGGACCCTCTACCGCTAGACCACGGAGGCGGTTGTTCAGTTCATGATTCGGCACATGTTGCCAAATAGTCTAAAGCTGCGCATTGCGCGGCAATGAGTACATGGGCCTACTGGTCATTGGTTCCGATACCATCTTCCTCCAGGTCCTGGTCTTATTGAACGTGCTCCTGGATTTCGTCAACTCTAAATGATGATTCCAGATCGAGAACAAAAACTAGTACGGGGTTTGGAAAACAAGATGGCGGGTCCTGTGAAAACACCATCGGTCATTGAATCCTTATTCATGTTCACATGCGATGAAATAAAGTTTGTTTGTTTGTTGTTTAACGCCGCACTCGGCAATATTCCCGCTATATCTGTCGGTATGTCAATAATCGAGTCTGGAATAAACAGTCCAGTGATTGACATCATGAGCCACGATCTACGCAACTGGGATACGACGACATGCATCAACCAAGTGAGCGAGTGAGTATGGTTTTACGCCGCTTTTAGCAATATTCCAGCAATATCACGGCGGGGGACACCAGAAATGGGCTTCACACATTGTACCCATGTCGGGAATCGAACCCGGGTCAGCGAGCCTGACCATCCGATCCCATTACTCGCCTATTAGGACAAGCATAGTCGCCTCTTACAGCAAGCAATGGCTGATTGAGACCTATTTTCCACCCGGATCTTCACGGGTCGATTATTGCTGTTCAACAGTCTTTCAAGTTGAACGTTGTGTCGTTATTCCATTACGTTTGTGACACTGGGCTTTACAAAACATTACATTCCTTCCGCCCACATAAGTTCCCTTAATCACCCATATTGTTTAGCGAAAAGACGCAGGCAGTACTAATGACGTCTGGAAATTTACATATCAAAAGAACGTTACGTCATAGATCATGCATGCGCATAACTCCGCGTGTGCATCTGAATTGATGAACTGCGGTGATCAACGAAATGGAACTTCCGGAAAGTGGAACTTCTGTGTCTGTTGGGGACTATATCAAACGGCAAATGGCGGTAGTGAGTGAGTGATTTGGGTTTAACGTCGCTTTGGACAGTATCTAAGCTGCACCTCGTGCCAAGCAGACCTGGGAGGGAAGCCCCAAAAGATGCAGGTTGTGGAACTGTAAAGGAGCCACGACGAGTTCTGTTTGTTGTTTAATACTGAGCAACATTCCAGCTGTATGACGGCGGTCTCTAAATAATCGAGTCTGGACCAGCCCACGGCGGGCAGATCCTGGCACAGCCAAGGGGCACAACTCTTAATCAGAGCTTATGTCGGTACCATGTATTCGGTCATATTTTCATATATCAAGCTGGCACTTTTTCCGGTAGCCACTTCAACAAAGCGATCTTAGGGCTACAGGCATTGTCAGTGAATGTTGAAGTAGATCGCTTGTATTTTCGTGTGGGTCCGGGTGGAATTTGCATGCAGATTGAATATTTGGTTGCTGGATAAGTCGTAAAATTGGTCGTTAAATAATTCGCGAGATTGCCGTTCGATACGTCGTGAGATTGTTTGCTGGATAAGTCGTGAGATTGTTTGTTAAGACAAGTCGTGAGACTGGTTCCTGAGACAAGACACGGAATTGGTTTCTGAGACAAGTCGTGAAATCGGTTGCTGAGACAAATCGTGAGCTTGGTTGAGACAAGTCGTGAGATTGGGTGCTGAGACAAATCGTGAGCTTGGTTGAGACAAGATGTGAGATCGGTTGCTGAGACAAATCGTGAGCTTGGTTGAGACAAGTCGTGAGATTGGGTGCTAAGACAAGACGTGAGCTTGGTTGAGACAAGATGTGTGATCGGTTGCTGAGACAAGTCGTGAGATCGGTTGCTAAGACAAGTCGTGGGATTTTTTCTAAGACAAGTCGTAGAGGAGCCTATCCAAACACTCCTTATTTTGATTCAGCCAAACAACGAAAAACATAAAATTACTTTTCTTTTATTCCTGAACAATGGATGAGAAAAAAACCCATTTGAGTTTAATTGCTTTGAAACCATCTCTGGACATTCTCACGCACGTTCGTGCAGATAGGGCAGTGGGTTCATGAATGAGTGTTTATGTAACTCCCACTTCCATGTAACAGTGAGACGGAAACAACAACCCCAGTCTGTGCACAGCTGCCCACAACACGTTATGATAACGGATGCGAAAGGATCATTTGAACGTGTGTAATATATATGGCTATATCAGAGTAACATTGTATAATCGAGCACGAATAGTTTGTGAGGTTGTGGATATTGTTTTAAGCAGTGTTAGCAATATGCAAGCATAGGTTGGTTGGTTGGTTGGTTTGTTGTTTAACGCCGCACTCAGCAATATCCAGCTATATGACGGCGGTCTGTAAATAATCGAGTCTGGACCAGACAATCCAGTGATTAATGTCATGAGCATCGATCCACGCAATTGGGATCGATGACATGCATCAGCCAAGTCAGCGAGCCTGACCACCCGATCCCGTTAGTCGCCTTTTACGACAAGCATAGTCACCTTTTACGGCAAGCATGGGTTGCTGAAGACCTATTCTACCCCGGAATCTTCACGGGTCTGCAAGAATAGGGTACGCGGGTGAAACCAAGAACAGGCACTACTAAAAGTTTGCTAAGGATCACCACATTAAAAGGTGGTGACCAATGATCAGTCAGATCACCCGTCAAAATGAGAGTATCTGCCCAAACCTAAAACGTAAAAAAATCACAAAAACAAATTCATATTCTAAAAGACACAACCTCTCAGTAGCGCCTTTGTGATCAACGTTATCCTTTAATTAAAATTTTATTATAAATTATTAATTAAAATCCGATCTAAGTTCTCGCTACCGGTAAACAAAGATCTGAGGACACCCCATTTCGGGTCACGTCAGACCAACCTTTCGCGAACTTTGACCGACCAATGGAATGACTGACAAGAAGTCGACATTAGCCAATCAGAAGGCAGCTTTCTTGTGCTTGACGGCACTAATTTCAAATTGGCGACTACGCTTCGAAACATATTTTGACAAATTATCGATTCCAAATTTTAAACCTGAACAAAAGAACATTTTAAACCTGAACAAAAGAAATTTTAAACCTGAACAAAAGAAATTTTAAACCTGAACAAAAGAATTATCGATTCCAAATTTTAAACCTGAACAAAAGAACATTTTAAACCTGAACAAAAGAAATTTTAAACCTGAATTATCGATTCCAAATTTTAAACCTGAACAAAAGAACATTTTAAACCTGAACAAAAGAAATTTTAAACCTGAACAAAAGAAATTTTAAACCTGAACAAAAGAATTATCGATTCCAAATTTTAAACCTGAACAAAAGAACATTTTAAACCTGAACAAAAGAAATTTTAAACCTGAACAAAAGAACATTCTGCATGGAATGGCTCATAGATTGTCTATATTGTATTGATTCAGTCGTTAAGCCCGTAAATATCGTTCGGAATACACCGTGTTAATGTTTTCGAGTTTGCATGATTAGAAATCACATTCCGACTGTCACTTTCATGATCTGGTAAGCGACGCTTTGATTGGTCGGATGAAAGGTCGTTCTGACGTGACCCTTAATGGTATGTCCTCAGATCTTTGTTTAGCGGTAGCCAGAACGAAGATCAGATTTTAATGATATTGTGCAGTGTTGCGTCCCTTGGGCATGCCAGAAACCTATGACCGTGAGTTCGAATCCCGGTTCGCCCCGATTATGTTTCTAGGTTTGTCTGCACCATACCCGTGCTAGTGAGACCTGCATCACTTCAGGCTTTCCTCCCGCATTAAGCTGACACGCCATGACATAAATGGAATACTGTTGAAAGTGGCGTTTCACCTCCCACGCTCACTCACATGTCATATACATGCATGTTTTGCTCCGAATTGATAAGAATACCACAGTTAGGCATTTATATCTTTTGTTCATCAGCTGATAGAAAACAAACTGAGAGTTGTTCCCCCTAGATCTATTTCATTCGGAAAATATCGTAAATATCCGCAGAATGGCGTCTTACATCTCGTTTAACGCCACACTCAGCAATATTCCAGCGGCGGTTTGGCAATAATCGAGTCTGGACCGGACAATCCAGAGATTGACATCATGAGAATCAATTGGGATATGATGACATCCATCAACCAAGTCAGCGAGCCTGACCACCCGATCCCGTTAGTCGCCTCTTACGACAAGCATGGGTTGCGGAAGGCCAATTCTAACCCAAATTTTCACGGGACAAAAAATAA